GGCTTTGCCTACTTTTTAAAATGTTTCTAAAATTACTTAGGCAAATGTCATTACTCTGAGCAGCAATAGGCCAGTGTGAACCTTTTCGGGATTTTCTTTTCAATAAAATCAGTCACTTTCTGATAATACCTCAAGATTTCCTTTATCGAGCGAGATCCTTCCACGATGAAGCAAACACATGGACTGAGACCAATGAACAGAAGTGAATAAAAAATGGCGCGGCAAACTAATGTAATGTTGTATGGTGAGTTTTTGTTTGTATCGTGGAGAAAAAATATGCTCAAATTTCATGTCGTATCCTGAAAATTTTGTATGCTGGGGCGTTCGTATCCTGAGGTACAGTACCACTGTATTTATCTATTGTACTTTTTCAATATTACAATTTTTTCAAATTACAATCATTCTTAATTAATATTGTATTCAAAAATGTTTCAAATCAACATTTATTTGATTTATACATGTGCACAAATGATATAGTTGCCCCTGAAATGCAGACTTCACTGTCCAATCTTGCTTATTTGTAACAAATGCCAATATCCAGAATGTTTTTAGACAGTTCCATTAAAACTATAAAACTAAAGTTTTACTGTACTCCTTTCTAGTTATTTAAAAAATGTTTTACATGTTTAAAAAAAAATCATGCAATTTTCTACACTTTATGTTGAATTCTGTTTATTTATGCAATTTTTCATACTATTGATTTTCTTGATTTCTGAATAATCTCAGCATAAGTGATCAACTAATATAGGATACCTGGAGTATACAAAGTCATTATATATTTTATGCAAAACAGCATTCGTAATAATTATCTTTTAAATGAAAAAAAATCCCTTTTCAAACAAATCATTTTTCCTGTGTTATATTTCTTAATTAGTGTGAATGTGAATGCATTAATTGCATTAAGCAGAGATTTCTTCATATATAAAAATTTAATGTATTAAAAATTACATATACATGGCATAAGTCAGGCACCATAGGCAAACTAATGTAATAGGTTTTTGTATTTCAGGATAAAATGTTGATGCAGGACAAACACATAATGGACCTGTGGAATAGTCCCATATATAGTTCAGCCAGCTTAGATGTAGAGTACCTGTTACTGGCATTTTGCCAACTCTCTTAAACTCATCTTGCATGTGTGGTAAGTAGAAAGCTGCACTGAAGTGCTCATTCGTTATTAGTACTGAATTTAGTATGAGATTTGTCTTTTCATATTCTTTTGCATGCTTCATTGTTTTACCAAAGTGGTACATCATGTAACAAACCCTTTCTCAATGGAAAACATTTTGCATGTCATTCAATTCTACAACAGGAAAATCAAAAATGGCAATTTTATGATTCCTGTTGCTCGTTCTACAAAATGTGCAAGTAGGGTTGCTAGAGTATCCTTGTCAACAATGAAAAAAAAATTCACCAGGAAGCAGGCAGTGAAAATGAGACAAATTTTGCTTCATTGATAGAGAGTTCAGAGAAGGACATTCACTTCTTTGTGATGTAATTACAAGAATAATTCATGATTTCTGCATTACAGAGAAGAAAGTCCCATAAATTTCTAAATTACTGCCAGTCTTAAACGAAAAGATCAATTTTCCTCTTTATTTTACAAATGCACCAGTTTAGTTCACAACTCTTGTGTCAATGTTCTCAGGTAAGTTAGCCTGACAATAGTCCTGATTACAAATTGTTAGATCTCTACCTGTGGGATCACTTGAAAGCACTTTCTTATGAACAGAAAATATCTATTACTCATTTGAAGATCCAAATCACACATGTCAAGCCATGACTCTTCACATATTGCAAGATGTGTGAAATGATTGGATCACTGTTTGAATCTGTGGGTGCAAGAATCACAACAATATTGAACATATCATCTGAACAGTTATTCTGCCTATGCTACATGACTTATGGGACACTATAATAGTTTTTAAGTTCAACTTCTCAATTAACTTAAACAATTTCAGACATTTTTCGCTCATTCTTAGAAACACTATTATTAATCAATGTTTAAAAAATTAAATTATTTATTTACTTAATTTTTGAATATCACTATAGCATAATTATCTGAAATTAAATTTTAAAAATTTTTACAAAAATATTGTAAAAATCCATTTTAATTACCATGTTTGCATATATAACCTAAAAGATACATTAATTTGAAAGAAGTGCAGTTTATGACATAATATTTTTATTATAATTACTTAATTAAACTTTTAAATATATTTTACTCATCTTTTTTATTAATTTTAACAAAAAATTAAAATCTAAAAATATTCTTAAAAATAAAAATTGTTAGTGGTTTTTACACAAAAAATATAAACTTATACAGGGATCTTAGCTATCTATTCTGTAATTATGGTAATTCTACAACTAACATTTACTTGAGTAAAATATAACTTTACCCAGGACTGTAGAATTGTCAGTAAAAAATATATCAACTCCTTTAATATTAACATAAACTTATACTTAAACATAGGTTATAAGTCTTTTTAAAAAGTAACCTGATTGTTCAGGGATAGTGATAAATGTCTTATGGGTACTATTTACCATTATTAATACACATACTAAGTTTTTATGAAGAAGTTTCAGTTAGAAATTTAATGATTTGAGAGCAGAATTACAATTAATAATGTAAAAATTGAGGAGTTGACAGTTTTGTATTTAAAATCCACAACCTAAACATTAATGTTTTGAAATTTGGTTTTTGAAAAGTTTGAAAAACTTAGTTGATATTTTTATCTAGTGCTGTTTGTTCTTTTTTAATGTTAAATATTTTAATTTTATTGAGAATTAAATCCAATATACTGACTTATGATTCTCAAAACTAATATTAATCAAACATTCCTTTTTTGTAAATTAATTAGTTTTCCTGTTAATTTTATTATATTCCTTTTTTAAGCATAAATAATTTTCATTTTACACATTTAGCTGTTATTTTATTATTGTACACACAGTCTATTAACATTCATTGGTTTATCATCATTTGTGTTCTCTAACTTGTAAGTCTAATTCAATAATTTTAGTTACTCTCCTACAAATATTGCTTTCCTATTGCAAATTCGTTATAATTTTGTTATCATATGATTTCTGTATTTTTTGAGAATTTCATTTTGTTCTTACTATAACAAATATAGTTGGAAATCTTTACATCTATAATTTTTACATCTGGTAAATAAAGTTTTGTAACTGTTTTATCTGTATCTTTGTAACTGCTAAATATTTCTCTTTTAACTTCTTTATTTTTTATCTGATCTTTCTTTGATCCTTCAAATTATTAGATGATAATGTATCTGAATAAACCTAATTAGCTAAGTACTTTAATGCGTGTGTTTTTTTTTAAAATGTTCTACTGTATAATGTTGTGAATGACTTTTTATTAATTAAATATCTTGTGATAGTTACCTTCTTTAACAAAGCTTTTAAAATTATGTACAGCAATAAATCATGTTTTTAGTGAAATATTTTACAAGATAAGCAATAAGAACATAAAATTAAATATGCATATAAACTGAAAAAGCTTTACTGTTTAATTTTTTCTGCCAAACACAAGCTAAGAAAAAAGCATTTGAATTGGAAAGCTTTTTTCCTTCTGAAATTTTTCAAATACTTGAATAGGATTCACAAATGAGTCATTTCTCAATAATTTATATATAACAATAATTTCATTTAATTAGATATCTTACTGGACATACGTTTTCATAGTATATATCACAATCACTTCTATTGTAATCAATAGCACTATTTACAAATCATATTGCAATAAGTGCAAGCAATTATTATTTAAAATTAATTAAAATGTATACACAAAATGTTCTTTTTGTATATATTAAATTTTGAAAATAATTTGTAACAATATCATAATAAAAATTAAAATGTTTCATGATCATTGAATAGCTTAGAATCTCTTGAAAAATATCATCTTAAAATAAAAATGATTAAAAAAACAGATTTTCTTTTTCTCAAAATACTTGGAATCTTATACATTTTCCGTTCATTGTCATAATTATTGTGTTCAATTACTGTTATCTTGTGTTCAATATAGACTATTATTAACAAAAATACTTATTTCAATACATAGTAAGAACTGCATAATATAAATTTATTGTATTAATTGTAAACTTTTACCATATAATCTAATAAATATTGATAATATTGAATTTTTCAAGTAATTTAATTTCAAAAGCACAGTTTTACTTTTTAAATTTTTATTTCACATGTTGTACAATACATTATTATGCTGTATAACAATTCTAATAAACTGTTTTTAGATTTATATTTGTAACAATTTAAAAGAAACTTAATTTTTAAATCTAAATAGACAATAGATAAAATTTAATGCAGCACTAATGTTGATGGTAGAACATTTACATTACAAACAATAATTAAATATTTTAGATTATTTTAAATAGAATGAAGTATTATTTTTGTAATAATTAGTCTTAAATGTGAATACAGTTATTTAAGAGTAAAATTAATATGTAAGCAAACAATCTGAGCAACAGATTTTCATATGGTTTGAAATTAACATTTTAGGCCAATTGTTATTAAATAAACTATACGTTTCAGGCAAAGTTAGAACTGAATACGTTGTATCCAACACAAATTTATACGAAATTAGATTTAAATAAAGTAAAGAATGAACGATCGAATCAAAGTCAGAATTATAAAAATAAGAACTAAGTTCAAATTCGAACCAAGATGATATAAACTGAACACTTCCGGATAGAGTATATTAATTAAAAAAAAAAAAAAAAAGTATATCTCAATGCTTCCGAGTATATAATAAGGTTGATTTAAAACACGTGTAACACAACATTTATGAAAAATATAATGAGCAATTCATGGAAAATTAATTTTAGTACGTGTTCTTCATCAATATAAAGTAAAGTGAATGTGTATATATGGTTTAATTAAAAACGAAATGTCCTTTCTAGTGTCTGGTTCGGATCATAGATGTCATGAGTTGTACGTTTCCACGAAATATAACAAACCGACACACCTACCTCTTAAAATGCCAATTTGCTTATTCTCGAGTCGTCAGAACTGACGAATGAATCGTTATTAATTGCTAATCAGGCAGATTTCTTGTTTAAAACGTAATCCAAGAAGACTCCAATTCAAACATTAAAATCGTCGATCCAAGATGGCGACCACACTAGATTCGCGCGCGAACCAGCGTTTCAAACTTGGATCTTACACCAATATTCCTTCGAGCAGAAAAATAATCCACTGTTCGTTTATTATTTTAATTAATCGAAAGCTCAAATTCCTATTTATTACCATAACACGTTACTCGTGTATTAAATACTCTATCGAATTAATCGTCGTGCGGTTATTTTTACTTTGTTTTTAGTCATCTAATAAGACTTCGTCCATATGCGGCAGACGACATCGCTTCGTCTGCGTCTTTTTCAAATGTAAGGCAGACGATCCGGTTGCTAAAATTTATATATTATAATCAAAATATTATCACTCTTAATGCATTTATTAATGTATAAAAAAATGTTTCCATGCTCGTAAGATCGTCGAAATTGAAATGTAATGATAAGTTGACTGAAATGCTCCGATGAATATATTGCGTAGCGTCGCCATGGCAACGTTGCTTTAATGTTAACCGAAGTTTAGTTTTTAGTTTTGCCATTTTCTGTGCAAGAATTAATCAAGCGAATATTCCACTTTTAAAAGAAATTGTTAACTATAAAGCACCTAGAAAAATTTACTTATAATCTACACCTTCTCTAATAATACTTAAAAAAAAAACGGTATTATTAAATTACTCGTCATTTAAAATAACGTTAAATTTCGCACCGTAATTACGTAACACTCATTTGGAATTTATGTCAAAGCATGTACGCATTGCTGTTTATGCATATTAACAATGTTAATTCCAGAACAATACGTTACAGTATGAAACCTAATGGGTTTAATCAAGGCCTTGAAAGAAGCCGGAGTAGAGCGGGCCCCTTATTTTTTTTTTAGAGAAATGAAATACGTAGAATTTTTCTTTATTAATAAACAAAAGTCTTAAAGTTTGTATTTTCTATTATCAAAAATAACATTAATTTTATAGAGACGGGAGCAAGGCCTTCTTAACATCATTTTAAGCCCCTGGACAAAACAGTGCAAGGAGCCTTGCATACACAACCGGCAGGTGATCAGAAAATTAGTTTTAAATTTGTCTGTGCATAAATTAGCGTGGGGATTCCGGGCAACTGCCTAGCGTGCCCACGCGTGAAGACGACACTGAACAGGAACCACTTATTTTTTTTTAACTTTGTCGGCCGGTTGGGCAGTAAGAGGGCCTCATTTGCAAACTCATTATGGATTTGGACAATGGGACGGCCGGGCAGTGAAAGACGGGCCCGACATATCCAAAGGAATCACCCCCGCCGAAAAATTCCTGGGGATTTTCGACCAAGTTCGGATTCGATCCCGGGTCCCCCAGAGAGGTAAGTTGCCACTTTGACAGCTCAGCCGATAAACAAATATATTAATTAAACTTAAATATTAATGTAACTGTTTAAATTAACAAATTATTATAAATGATTCAATTAACCATCTATTGAATTCCATTTAATTAAATGTTTAAAAAAAAAACACCTAAATTCGAAAAATACGATTTAAAAATATTTATATATCGAAGCGCCATCATTCGTCAAAGGCAAACTTTTAAATTTTAAAATTCGGTTCCGTTACGAACTATAATTTGAATTCACGACTCGAACGGAAAGATTTTAATTGTAAATTAAATATAAACATGAGTAACAAATTGGAAATCGAACCTTCTCATCTAACTTTTACGGGTGAGTGAGAATGAATAATGTTTAAAATATTAATAAATGAATAAAATAACCGCCAACGAGTTAATTTACTTTCCATTATGAATAATGGGGAAAATTGATTCGGAGTTCGAATGGCCTCTTGGAATGAATTAAATTCGATGAAAGAGGCACCACTGTAATGAAAAAATTTTAATTCGTAAAAATTAATTTCGATATTAGAACAATTTTTTAGAACTTTTAATTGAATTTCAATTTTACATTTGCTTGAAATTTAAAATGTTATCAGGCTTTAATACGTCATTTGCTAGAGCTGCTATAGAATTTGAACCATATACATTTTGAGCTGAATTCACATTTTGCTGTAGAGATCATGCTGCCATATTTAGTTCTTTCTAGTCTACAGCACTCATAGTTTCTACTTTGAGACTATAACTTGCTTTTACCCGATTTTACAATGCAAACAGAANAAATTTACGTACCTTATTATAAATCATAGTTAGGATGAGCTATAGCTATGACTAAAGTTTTACAGGGCTCCCTCATGCCTTTGTAAATAAGTAAATGAAAAAGTAAATAACTAAAATAAGTACAGAAAAAAGATTTAAATGTAAAAAACACACTTATATGCATACACATGTAGTCTATATACAATATCTGAGATTTTACTCTTCATTTGTAGTGGCTATTTCCAAAGTAGTGCAAGGACGAACATAAGTTTGAACTTTCTAATTCACCCTACAATATTGATTGTAATTACGCTACTGGATTATCTAAAAATCTGGTTTTAAAATAAGATTTTGAAAATAGTCAATTACTTGGTCCACTTTTATATTATCATAAACCATGATGAATAAAACTTGGAATCTTATACATTTTCTGTTCATTGTTATAATTATTGTGTTCAATTACTGTTATCTTGTGTTCAATATAGACTATTATTAACAAAAATACTTATTTCAATACATAGTAAGAACTGCATAATATAAATTTATTGTATTAATTGTAAACTTTTACCATATAATCTAATAAATATTGATAATATTGAATTTTTCAAGTAATTTAATTTCAAAAGCACAGTTTTACTTTTTAAATTTTTATTTCACATGTTGTACAATACATTATTATGCTGTATAACAATTCTAATAAACTGTTTTTAGATTTATATTTGTAACAATTTAAAAGAAACTTAATTTTTAAATCTAAATAGACAATAGATAAAATTTAATGCAGCACTAATGTTNATAAATTATTTAAAATACGTTATAATCATTTTTAAAAAAACTTAAAGAAATTGAGCAAGAATATGTTAAGTTTTTTGGTTGAGCATTGTTGGATTTTTCTACAAACATAAGGCAAATATAATTTCCAGACTAATGACCCATAACTTCTCATAGACTTGCCCATCAATCTCTAATATAATTAATCATTTGTGATCTGTTCTAAATACAGGATAAATTCGGAATTTTAGGATAATTTTTCCAGAAACTAAAAAATGAGTTAACTTGTTCTTTCTCGAATTATTAAAGAGAATTCATAAATATAAAGAATTACATCTTACGGATCTGTTTGAAAATCATTTTACTCCCTTTTTTGAAACATACTACATAAATACAAATAATTTTCTTTCTAAAACTTATTTGTGTTTTTATAACATTACATTTTCAATCGTAAATTTAATTCATTTATCATGCGTGAAATCTAGACGTATATTTAATTCGAATTATGTATAGTAGTATTGAATAATGACGTATAATGATTATTCGATGATTAATTGTTGTGATTCGTATTTAATATCTAGATTGTATTATTTAAAAATAAAAAAATTAAACTTTTGTTATCAATTCATGATTAAAGGAGGCTGCTAATTTTTGTATCGTAAATCTATTTTTGTAGCATTTTTTAGTTATATAAAGACTGATGACAATAATTTCGTGACTTTTTACAGTCTTAACATAGCGTTTGAAAATAAATTTAATCAATTTTAAAGATAATAATGTAATATTTTTGTTTTTAGGTCTACAGATAAAAATGAATATATTTTATCCCTAAGTGTCCATAATTAAATATAAAATTTTAGTCAATTAACGTGGGTCCGAAAAATCTCTCGATTGCGAGAAAAAGTCCCTTAACGTTGCAGTATGATTCTGTTTAAAAAGCAGAAACGAGACGTTTACGTATCTTACAAACTTAAACGGTTTCCTTTTAAACAGAACCATGCTACAGCTTTAATTTAAGAAACTTTTTCTCGCAAACGTGAAATTTTCGAACTCACACTGACTAGATATTTCCCTTTATTTTTGTACGTAGAATAAATACATCTGTCAAATTCGGCTGCACATAATATATACACTGTATTACCTAATAAAATATTTAGCTACTTAGGTTAATATATTGAATCGAAATAATAATAGTAATAATTTAAAATCATATCTATTATAAATACACTTTATTAAGTAAAATAGCTAATAATTATTAGTACTGTATTATAGTTCTTTTATTGCTATTTTTGGAAACATTCGTTTAGAATTCAGAATCAGTCATAAATACTTCCTATCCTAATGACTCTATTCCATACATTTTATCTCTAGGGAGCACTTCAATTATTTTACGAATTTTATTCTAAAATTTAAAATATATATTATTATTATTTAATACTATATACAACTTTTGATTCAGATAAAATAATTCAGTATAATTTTGGAATATATTTTATTACTTTAGGAGAGGTAAATACAAATACAGCACAATATTAACTTACATGAAAATGAAATAAACAATTTTAATATACAGTAATTAAAATTGTTTATTTTATTCGTGGAACGAACTAGCCTTTTATAAGTAGATTTAATATATTTTGATTTTCAAGAAAAAAAATACGTCGTTTTAAAGGAAAAAATTTAAAGTTTATTTATTTAATAAATAAACTTTAAATTTAGAATTTAAAATAAACTTTAAATTTAAAGTAATAGTTTATTTAATAAACTATTACTTTTATATACTGATATATTGATTTACTACGTAGCTATCTGATACTTCATTCCGAGTTTTTTATTTATTATTTTAAAATTGCATTTTATTAATAAATTATTATTATGCATGACCTATTACTGACGTAAAAAACTTTATAAGGAACATTTTTAGAAGTTTAATTATTTGCTTAAGTCTTTTACATGTAGACTTTGGCGGATTCGACTGTATTATTAAATCTACGATATTCTCCGGGTCTTATTTTATTTATATTTATCTATAGACTTTTATTATGTAATTCGGATGAAGATCAATATTTTGATAATTTTTTAAAAAGAATTTATCAAAATAAAATAGAATTTTGATTTTAGAGAATTTTAAGATAGAAAACTGTTTACTATCAATTTTCAAAATATTTTAACGTTTCGTGGATAAAGAACCATAAGCGGCTAACTCTAAACTTCTTAGTTTTTTTCAATAATTGAATATCCCTATTATATTCAACACGTTCTATTTGGAACCATAAACAGATATGTAAAATACTAAATCACATAAGATAGCAAATCTTTGGTGAGTTCAGTTTTCAAAAATTACGGTTTCACAGTTGAACGCTTGGTCTACGATTTCTAATTTTAAAAATAAATAAATAAACAGAAAGTGATCAGAATCTTAAAAATCTAGCAGTCAAGGATAAAGATAAACACTATAAGATAAATAATTATTCATAATGGATTTTTATCCATAAATATTCAAAATGTAAGTCTGTTTAATGAATTATTTTTGAATAATTTCTCTCATAAATC